CGACGGCCTTGGACGAAACCATCTCGGCAGTCTTTTAAAAGCCTTCTCGAGTTCTACGTTCGGTAATTTGGTATTAGTAGAGGGGCCGAAGTGTGATGGAATTATCGGCTGGGTCAGATGTGGACTCTTTGATCTGTTCGGAATGTGAAGGCAGTTTAAAGTTGTTGCGGTGGGGTGGAGAAGCTCTTCTTCTTTTCATTGGGATTCGGGTAAAGTGGCAATTTTATATATAGGATGAGTTTAGTAACGTGGGGCTTGTCGTTTATGGATTGGAAGGTTAAGGAGTGTTTTCAGATCTGTTCCTGGGAGAAGGATTGACGAAATTTTTCGGTGGGCTATGAAGGATCTCGCAGGAACAAGAACAGACGTTCAGAAACAAAAGTGTTATTAAAAACTTAAATAAAAACAACTAAGTGTTGACTCAGGGCTCTTACTTCTTTCGCCCTCTGATATTGTTCGAGGAAGAGGGTAGAGGTGGACATCTTCATCTGGGCCTAATTCCCAATTTCCAGAAGCAATGACAAAATCATCTCCAGCCCCCTTGTTGGAGTCTGGGAGGTCGGCTACAATTTTGTACTGAGTAGATCTCGGCTTAAGGTAATAGACAAAACCCCTATCCTTCAGGTCGAGAGGGCACATGGTATAACAATATTGAAGGTCGGCTAGGGTGATTCTGAGGTTTTCCTGCCTAGCTAGGGCTATGATACCGTTAATCACCCTATAGGAATTGATAGTAAGTTGCATGGGGTTTAGCTTGTAGAAATGAAGAACTTCGCGAAACAGGGGATCAAGTGGAAGCCGAAGTCCACATTCGGTGAAAGCTACTATAGGAAAAGGCATTGTATGATCTGTGGGTATGATAGTGTCGCTATCCCCAGCTAGCTTAAGGTGAACATCGGCTGGGATAGAGAATTCCTGCCTAAAGTATTCTAGTTTTGTTGGGGTATTTACCCTATGCCTCCACATACCCATTACGTCAACTTAACAAAAGAAGAATGTGTTTCAGAAGATGGGCGTTTAGAGAAGGGTTGCAAGAACCTCGGCAAAGAACTAGGAATGGACTGATAAGGCTTGTTTCAGTTTTTCCTAAAAAATTGAAGGTTCTACACACAAATCCCAAGCTAAAGAACTATAAAGAACAAAATCGAAGGCACAGATCTGGGACAGATACGAAAAACAGAAAATAGAGACATAGTTTCAGAATCAAGAACAGTGGCAAGAAAAATGGTAAAATAGTACAAAAATTCAAGATGTAGCCACAATCCAGGATACAAGAAAAATCCAAGGCTTCGAACAAAAGCAACAATGACAACAGACAGACGAAAGCTCATGAAAAAATTTTAGAGTGAAAGGAAAGAATCTTACCAGAACAAATGAAGCCGAGGCAATGTTCGCCGAACCCAGAAATCGGTCGCAACAGTGGAGAAAGCTTCGCAAGAATGGGAGATTAAGAACAGTTCCAGAAGGGAGATCGAAGCAATGGCAGATCCGAAGAGGAAAGAGCTTTCAGAGAGAGAAAGAGCAAGAAGTCAGAATGAAAAAGTGAAAGAAAAATAGAGGCAAAGAAGAGTTTTGTCAAAAATTTGAAACGGCGGCAAAATTAGGGCAATTATTACGCCTAGAGCAACGCACGCGTCAGACGGCGCAGACGAATGACAGACAGCTTTCAGGCGCGTCACCGACACGCCCCAATGAAGACAAAACACGTGAAGGGAACAGTTAAATATGCATGACAGCTCATGCGTATAAAAAAGTACGATTGAAACCTTGTTCTCTGAAGAGAACACATCGGCTGAAAGTGGATTATCTCGGCTAAAACAATTTTTGAGTCATTACTCAGAAAAGGAATATCGAGATATCGATATAGGTTCCATCACCTCAGAGCGCCGAGGTAATAGAACCTAGGGGGCAGTTGTGAGGATATATTTTCTGAATGCCAACACGTGGCATGGTGACGCCGACGTGTCAGCCGAGGTGCCACGTGTCCTGGTAGTTATGCCGAGGTTATCTCGGAGTTGCCGAGGTTATCTCCAAAGATATCGGAATCCGAGATAGGCGGACAGGGGACAAGAGTCCTAAGACGAAGAGGGGACTTAACCTAGATAAGGATAAAGCTCTTAGGGAGTTTATCTTTATCTCTTAAAGAGTCCAAAGTAAACATTAATATGAAGTTCATAGAAGTCATACTTCTAGTGGGACTTGGATTGAGTATATTATAAAAGAGAGGCACCCCCGTGGGTCTAAGGTATGCAATTTATGTTTTGAGTATTCAGTTTAGCACTTGATTTATCTTTGAGAGATATACTGACTTGATCGTCGGAGTGCCCTCGGGTGGAAGAACCACCGCCGGAGCTTTTTCTTTCTGTTACAGGTTGCTAAAGCCATCTATTCTGCCTGTGCTCTCCAGCTGATCACTAAACGGGCAGTGTGGTCAGATTTTCACCCACACAGTCGTGTCGGACCATTGTAGGAACTAACCGGAATTAACGTCGAGACAGTTTATGGGGTCATACCGGACCGTTATAAGAATTGACTGAAATCAATATCAGGACAATTTACGGGGTCATACCAAACCGTTGTAGGAACTGACCGGAATCAAGGTCGGGACAGTTTACGGGGTCATGTCGGACTATTTTAGGAACTAACCGAAATCAATGTCAAGACAGTTTAAGGGGTCATGTTGAACCGTTGTACGAATTGACTGGAATCAATGTCGGGACAGTTCACAGGGTCATACTGAACCGTTGTAAGAACTGACCGGAATCAACGTCAGGACAGTTTAAGGGGTCATGTCGGACCATTGTAAAGACTGGATGTTGAACCAGCAAGCGTGGCACACACATAACTTATGGCGCGGTGTTAAACGATGATGACAACATGACTGAGTGTGCCAAGAGGTGGCTTATTAAAAAGTATGCCAGTGGGAGGCTTAGATGGTGCGCCAGGGAACGACTTTGGTGGTGTGCCAAGGGACAGCTTAGATGGTGCACTAGAGGAAGAGGCTTGGGTTGTGAGCCAGAGTGGGCGGCTAAAGTAGTTCACATGGTATATCACCATGCTCACCATGATATAGGTATAATACCCCCCCTCAAACTCAAATAGATTTGTAGATAGACACCTATTTGAGATTGAAACAGAGGGCAAAACAAAGTGGAGTAGAAACACACCAAAAAAAAAAAAAAAGGGATTGAGGGGGAAAAAAATGATAGAGATATCTGGGGTAGGAATAAACCAGCAGACAAAAGAAGAGATCACCTCGAAGTGATACTGACATGAAAATATGACAGTGGAAGGGGTAAAGGTCCAGCGGGCGGCCAAGGTAAGTTTGTTTCCTGCTGGTGAAGCGAATTACTAGGTACTTAACCTAACTCTGATACCATGTTATAACAAGATAGCGAGAGAGAGAAAAAAAAAATATGTATTATATTGAATGTTGGGTTGAATAATTATGTAACAATGTATACAAGACTCTTTTATATAGGAAGAGAAAAACCTAAGTATGATAATCCTAAATATGGTAATGATATAACATAGGCATAGTTTGGGAAGTTGGTTTTGTTGGGTTAGGAACTAAAATAGTCACAAAAAATAAAATAGGTTATTTTAACCACAAAAAAAAAAAATCAAATCCAACCCATAATCATTATACTCATCTCTTACAAAAAAAGTCAAAAAAGTTAAAAAGCCAAAAAGTCCTTTCCAAACCAGGCTTTTTAGCCTCAGGCTAAAATAGCCAAAAATCCAAAAAGTCAAAAAGTCAACCCACTTCCCAAACGGAGGCATAGTATGCATGATAGACAGAATATATAGTTATTATATTTAACATCATCAATGAAAAATGTTAAAAAATAATTCTCAATTTGTTTTCGATATGCACGCAAATTGATCTGAACACTCAATTATAAAAACAAAAAGAGTGATGCTCCAAACCCCAGCACCCTCACATAAACGTGGGCAGCAACAAGAGGAGGACCCCAAAAAAAAATATGGACCAATCAAAAATCATTGGTGGTGGTGGAGGTCACCTCCAGTGGAGGTCTCCTCCAGTGGAGGTCTTACTCATTCTTCAAACAAAAAAAACAGAAAAATGGAGAGTGAATTTAAAAAGATGAAGTATTACACATGAATTTTTTCATCAAATTTGGGATAAGAGAAAAAATTTATAAAGATTTTGAAAAGAATTTGATGAAGAAATTAGAATAGTTCATATCAAATTAAATTTTTTATTCAAATTTAAAGTTAATTTAAATAAAAAAAATAGATAAAAGATTGAAAACACTCATGATTAAATTTTGCTGCAGGTTTTTTGCTTCTGTCTACGAGTAAGAATGCATTTCTAACAATTTTTTTTTTTTTTTTAATTTCAAGCTCCCAGTAACTTTTAAATCAGCTCTAAGTTCAAATTTTTATTTTCATTATAAAAATAAAATTAATTAAATTAAAATATAAACTTGTAATCCAATAATTGTAAGTGAAAAAGGGAAATATTCGGTAAAGTCATCCTCAGGTGCCAATATTGACCCATGTCACCATTTCACCTCCCAACCCCCTCATTGTTCCACGGCCTCTTTTGAAGAGTATAACTCTTTTTAAAAAAGAAGTATTAAAAAAATAATAATAATAATAATAAGAGAAAAAAAATAAAAATAAAAATAAAAACATAAATATATCTATCACATTACATATGAACTCATTCCCTACCATATTATTACTTTAAAGCTTTAAAATTAAAACTCTCCATCTTAATTCAAAAAAACCTCTTTTGAAGAGTATAACTCTTTTTAAAAAAGAAGTATTAAAAAAATAATAATAATAATAATAAGAGAAAAAAAATAAAAATAAAAATAAAAACATAAATATATCTATCACATTACATATGAACTCATTCCCTACCATATTATTCCTTTAAACTTTTAAAATTAAAACTCTCCATCTTAATTCAAAAAAAATAAATAAGTGATAGTGATCGAATAAACTGACCCTTTTTTTTTTTTTCATAATCATAATATGCTTACATATCTCCCCTCCCAACCAAACAAACAAACAAACAAAACCCAAACCCCAGCAACTCCTACATAGAAAAGCAAAACACAAGATCAAGCCAAAACTTGAAGCAAAGCAATCATGGCAGAAGAACAACAAGACACATCTCCAACAACATCAACCTCAACAACAACTAGTTCTGTGTTGATCATTAAACTCATGAGCAAAAGAAGAACATGGGTATGTCTATTTGTTCTCGTCTACACAATTCTCTTGTCATCCTCATGGAACATACTCAAATCCATACTCTCTTGGTACCAAATCAACTCCTCAACATCCTCCCCTTCTTCTGGGTGGCCGGCGTTGTACGCCTCGGTGGTTCTAGGGGCGGTGTTCGGGTTGCTGTCGATGGCCGCCGCCCTCGCCGTGGCGGTGCCGGCCACCCTGGTGACGTGGATCACCGTCCTGGTGCTTCTCACGTTCCGGGGGAAGTCCCGTAGGTCGTTGCTGGTCGATGCCAAGAAATTGACGGCTGAGATTACGGGGTTTTTGGGTAAGATCTTGATCAGGGAAGGGAATGTTGTCGCCGCCGTTTGTGCTGTTTTGGGTTACTTTGTACTTGTTTGGAAGAACAGAGAAGAGGTTGGGTCTTATTAGCTTTGGATCACAGAAATATTGGGAAAGTTCTTTCTATTTCTTCAATCTATCCCTCTAAATCAGAAGAAAATTGTGTTGTTGTTGTTGTTGTTGTTGTTGTTTTTTTTTGTTTTTTTCATGAGTTCGGAAAAGCCTTCTTCAGTTAGGGCCTCACACTTGATAGTTTTGGCTAATTGTAGTTTATCATTTATTTATTTTTTTTATATTTTTATATTTTGTAATTGTTTTAACATATTGTTTTTTTGGGTTTTGTTACAAAAGTAATAATTTTATATTATGAATATATTACAAAATATATCCGTGAGATTTGATTAAAATATGAATCGTTCCTTGTAATTTTGAAAATTATATTGCACTTTTTCTTCAGTTAGGGCCTCACACTTGATAGTTTTGGCTAATTGTAGTTTATCATTTATTTATTTTTTTTATATTTTTATATTTTGAAATTGTTTTAACATATTGTTTTTTTGGGTTTTGTTACAAAAGTAATAATTTTATATTATGAATATATTACAAAATATATCCGTAAGATTTGATTATAATATGAATTGCTCCTTGTAATTTTGAAAATTATATTACACTTTCGAAATTTTTAATTTCATAATAAATCGATTCTTTTATTAAAAAATTATCAAGTCAATTAATAATTTTTTGATGATGTTAGAAATGTGTTTTAATTAACAATTTAAGTAATTTTATCATTGTATAAGAGAACAATTATTAATTTAATTTTTTATTTAAATTCTATTGAATAAAAATTTTTGATAATTAAATATTTATAATTTTTTAAAGCACATGAAATAATTTATGCTTAAAACAAATTTTAAGATGTGTATATGTAATTTAACATTTTATTATTATTTTTCAATGTGACTCTCATCTGCTTACAATGTACGCTATGCAAACTAATTTGATTGTTTGGGTACTGACGAAAATTGCTCTTCAGTATTCATTCCAAATTATATGCAAAATGTTGTTTAATACACATTAATTAAATAAATTGTAAAATGAATTTATAAATAATAGGTATATTGGGAATAATATTTTCCTTGTTGACTCTTGTCTTTATAAATGTAAACTAATGTCCTTATTAACTATATGTCACAAACAACTATTTTCAATGAGTCAATGATAAAAGTTCCCCATAGCTCAAAGCTCACTATTGGATTTTTTTTTTCTCGTTTTTTTGGCAAAATCTATTAGCCAAACATATGGGTTCCACACCTTACACGAAAATCTAACCCACTAACAGCCCAATAGTGGCATTTTATTGGCCTCAACACTATTGGGCCTCAAGCCTTATACCTTTATGTGTCAGTAACAGCCGGCCCAAATTTTGTTAACTTGGTTGGGCCTTTCCACAAAAGAGGCCTATCTATTAAGGGTGATTCTATTTGCATTAAAAAAAAGAAAATTCATTAATTACGTTTAAATTTTTAATATTTTTTATTAAATTATTTAAATTATAATTTACTCTCAACATCCTTATATTGTTTTTAAATTATCCTTTAAGTTCCGCCTAAATAATAAACAAATCAAAAATCTAAAAATTTGTTTGGGATAATCTAAATAAGTGCACTTTTTGATTTTTTATGAAATATGAATTGGATTCAGGTCAGGTTTAAAGTGATGTGCTAGAAATGTAATGTAACTTAAATAAGATGATATGACTTAAATAAGATATTGACTTTTTAATTTTTTTTAAACATGCCAAACCAGTCCTTAAATTACGTCACTTAAAAAATCCCTTAATTTCAAAGCCCTCAATTGTAACCCTTTTTTTTCTTTCCTCCCCTCTCTCCCTCTCCTTTCCTATTCTCTACAGCTTACCTCCTCCAAAACCCAACATCCACGAAGACCACCACCACCACCAGTTTTTTTAACCAAGCCCTCTCTATAATCCCAAAAGCTCACCAAAACACGATAATCTAAATAAGTGCACTTTTTGATTTTTTATGAAATATGAGTTGGGTTCAGGTCAGGTTTAAAGCGATGTGCTAGAAAAATAATGTAACTTAAATAAGATATTGACTTTTTAATTTTTTTCAAACATGCCAAATCAGTCCTTAAATTACGTCACTTAAAAAATCCCTTAATTTCAAAGCCCTCAATTCTAACCCTTTTTTTTCTTTCCTCCCCTCTCTCCCTCTCCTTTCCTATTCTCTACAGCTTACCTCCTCCAAAACCCAACATCCACGAAGACCACCACCACCACCAGTTTTTTTAACCAAGCCCTCTCTATAATCCCAAAAGCTCACCAAAACACTCATCAATTTTTATCATCATGTGCAGCAGCTCACCTTGGATTCCAGTGACCCCATAGATTTCGGCAACACCATAAATTCCGGCGAACTTCTTTTTAATCACTTTCTTCTCCTTTTTCTCTTCTTCTTCACAAGTATTAAATTCAATGAACAATTTTTTATCAAAACCGATTAATATTATGTATATATTGTAGCAAATCCGTTTGTCAATTTTCAGCCGCAATAGTAGTTCAACACTGTAAAGATTGACAAAATCTCATAAAATTAAATCTTCATACCAATAGCAAAAGATTGACAAAGAAATTTGAGCGGTTTATTTTTAGGGAAAATAAATGACATCGTTTTTAGGAAAAAATAAAAAACAATTACTCAACTTAACTCTGGGCTTAAATTGCAGTTGCCAACATCCTTTGTCCAAAACATAGCAAAAACGAAAAGTGGAGAAAAAAAAGATGAAGAGAGTTAATTATAAAAAATACGTATAAATGGTTTGGGATGTACTATGAGGAACAAAAATTATTTTAAAGTTTAATATATATTGTCTTTATTATTAAATATATATTAAGATATAATAGGAACTAAAATTTTAAATAGATATACTGATTTATTATGTTGGTACAAATAGAATCACTCGTCGATATGAAAAGAAAGAATGATCAAAATGCTAATATTTAGAGGTGATTATTCAGTATTTTTAAAATATGAACATTTGGTGCTTCATAAAATTTTGACTGGTAGAGATTATGTTGGAAATGAAAGAACAATATGAAGACTAAATAATTGATGATTAGTTTGAAATATAATTACGTAATGTTCCGAGATTATTAAACCCTTATAAAAATCATGTTTGGTTGACGATTATAACATGGATTATGAATCTCCCTAAAAGGTGGTGGAATTAGTATTGTTATGATAGTGGGATTGCCAATCATATCTTATTGAATTGAAGGTTAAAAACTATTTTATTCACTTTGCATAACAAATTGATATTTTATAATATATTAATTTTATAAGTTTAATTTCATCCAATTTATACTATTATATTAGGTTAGTAATTCCATCACTCAACCCCTTCTATACTCAAAATATCAATAATCTTAATCCAATGACAATTGGTTTGGGTGAAAATTGTACTCTTATGTTGACCTTTGTCAGTTAATTTAACTTATTATTCGGAGAATTTTTTAGTAGAAAGTACTTTAAATAATGGATATGTCACATGACTAATATGATATACTTGATGTACCATTCTATTTAGGGCAAATTACATATACACCCCTCTAGGTTTGACAAAATTACAGATACCCCCCTGAGGTTTGAGAAATTACGAATTCCCCCCTGAATGCTATATTTGCATAAGAAATTAGGGGGTAATTTGTTATGAAATATAAACCTCAGGGGGTAAATTGTTATGAAAATACAAACCTCAGGGGGCGGGATGTAATTTCCGAAACCTCAGGGGGATATCTGTAATTTAACCAAACCTGGAGGGGTGTATATGTAATTTGCCCTTCTATTTATTAATGGATATATGATAAAAATGGGATCCAAGGAGTCATTTTGTGCTTAATATAGATGGTACTTGATTTCAAATATTGAATATTCAATCACATCAAACTTAAGTCTCACTTTTATTTAATAATAAAGATTTGACATTATATATTTCAATTATGTAAGAGCATGAATCAGATTTTTCATCAAATTTGAGTAAAAAATGATCCATTTCACTAAATTTGATATCCCTAGCTCCAACGGTACATCAAATCCTGTATCAAATCCCGTGGGTCGACCGATTGGTCGACCCACCGGTCCACCAGTAAGATGTACCCAACATGCACCCAACATGAATCCATGCACGCTTGATATGAATCCATGCACCCAACATGTACCCAACATGCACCCAACATGAATCCATGCACGCTTGATATGAATCCATGCACCCAACATGTACCCAACATGCACCCAACATGAATCCATGCACGCTTGATATGAATCCATGCACCCAACATAGCTTTAAATTGGAAGTTGTTTAGAAGAGTAAATTGAGAGACGGTTGACCGGTTGGTTGACCGGCCGGTCAACCAGTAAGGCAAAAATAATTTTTTTTTTATTTTTAAAACTGTTTGAACTTTTTTTGACCGGTTTGAACCTACCTAATGTAAAGGAAATCGGTCGACCGGTTGGTCAACCGGCCGGGCAACCGGCTGGTTGACCGGTGTACCTCTTTCAACGGTCAGTAACAGTGATTTGGTAAAATCTGTGTCTCGTTCTCAGTTTGATACTTTTTTTGCTGAAATCTCATTTTGATATCAATCTGGTGCAACGGTTAGAGCATAAAAAAGTGCCTTTTCCATCAAAATTTAAATATAATACCAACTTTGATTCACTGTTGGAGATGGTCTAACATACTCATTACATAAAATAATTTATATTTTTTAAGGTCCAATTCACCCCGAATAATAGGGTAACAAATACACGATTGTTTTGTCTTTTTGGTGTAATCATTAAAAATTAAATTCAATAACTTTCACGAATTATGATAGAAGCTACTCACAAATGAACGTTCAAATAATGTTATGTACGTAAAATTACATTATTAAAAAGGAAAATGTTTGAGGGCCTTAATTTCTGTGGTTCAAATGGCTTAAATTTGTCAAAACGATGTCGTTTTGGCAATTTTGATGTTGTTTTGTACTCAAAACGACGTCGTTTTGACAAATTCGAGCCATTTGAGCCACAAAAATTAGGGCCCTAAGTACACTTATTTAGGACACCCCAAACAACCCCTAAAGTTGTGCCAGTAGTTGGACATTATTTTATTGAACAAATTACCAGCACTACTTTTAGATTTGTCTAGTTTTGAAAATTACCACCACTTCATCTTATTATTTTTACTATAAAAGATTTAGGAGTTGTTTAGGATGATCTAAATAAGTGTACTTTTTGATTTTTTATGAAATATGAATTGAATTGAAGTGATATGTTAAAGAGATAATGTGACTTAAATAAAATAACGTGACTTAAATAGGATAGTAACTTTTTAACTTTTTAAATTTTTCTAAACATGGCAAACTAGCCCTTATTATACAAATATTTACATTTTTTTCTAATATGTTAAAGTATGCGTAGATAAAGTTCGCAAAGCCCTATAATTGCGGAAGAATATTGATTGGTAAGCTGAGGTTGGGCCCCTTGGACAACAGACATGCATAGTGTTGTATACTAGTGTCGGTGGCTCTTTTTGTTTCTCTATTATTTGATTGGATAAATTACATTCACACCTTTGAGATTTATTGATTTCTTAGTTAGTTGATTGTTAAATCAACTAACAGATTTTGCTGATATTAGCAATTTAATTTTTTTAAATACTAATTTTGTCCTGACTAGGTATATTATATTGACACCCCTCACATTTTAAAAATTATAATTTCCTCCCCAAGGTTTAAAATAGTATTACCAATTGCCCTCTCAGTTAGTATTAGTTGAAAAAAAAAATTACTAGTCAAATTTTTAAATTTCTGTTTAAAAACCAACATAAACTCATTTTTTGAATTTACATTTTTTTTTCAAATTTACAAACTGAGACAACCATTTATAAACAAAAAATACCAGTTTTTAAAATTTTTGTAAATATAAATTGAAAACTGAAAACAAAATGGTTACCAAACAGGTTTCAGATGGTAAAAATATCGTAAAATTAACAAATAATTAAATAAGTTACTAACGTAATAAATGACTTATCAAAAGATTTTTAGACTATGTATGGTTTGATTTTTAGAATTTTTTTTTAAAATTAAAAATTAATTTGGTTAAAAAATAAAAAATAATTGTCATTTTTATATAACTTTTATCTTTCGAGTGGTTAAAAGTAATTTTTTACAAATTAAATATATTTTTTCATATTTATTTTTCTTAAATTAGTTTTTTTTTTTTTAAATGTCGGAGGGAGGATCCGTATTAAATTGAAACCTCAGGGGGTGTCAGTGTAATTTACTCTTTAAAGTATATATAAAGGTTAAGGGTAAATATGTTATTTTAACTTAAAAGTTAATACCGTCAAATAATTACATTGACAAGAAAGTCAGTATAATTTTCTAAATATAAAAGAGAACTGTAATAAATATAAATCTCATGAAGTGTCAGTCTAATTTTCACTATTTGATTTGATTGCTTTCCCTTGTATACTAATGTGGTCTGGTGGGCTTTAACAAGTTGTCATATTTTTAAGGCAAAGTATATGCAAAGCATTTGCAAATCATTATCATAAACTTATATCTGCAAAAAATTGGAATTATGCAAAGAAGATTTTGAAGGAAATGTACACCATAATGGTGGTCAAGATGAGTGCTTGGTCCAGTAATGCATGCACCATTCTTTCACATTGACTTGTTGATCTACTCTATTGAGACTCACAATTATTTATGATTAAAATTATATGTTAAAGTAGGTGTTATATAGTAATATAAAATAAAAGTATTTATTAGTATAGAAAGTGAGAGGTACTCTAATTGTAGTTTAACTGTGTGCTAAAAATATATTTTTTAACATAATAATGGAATGTACATAACTATATATTTATATTAAATAAATTTTTTTTAAAATATAAAAAATGTTAGAGTGGTGGTACTTGTTCCCCCAACACTTTCACTGACTCTTTATCTCTTTGCTAATTATGTAGTCACCTGACTTAATAAAAACTTAACATATGGTTTTTTTGAGAATTAATTATTTTAGTAATTTTTTGATTTTTTATAAAAAAAAAAAACACATGCGGAAAGATAGAAAAGATGATTTTGTTAGTATTTTTTTGACTTTTTGACCAAAATAACCTATTAACAAATGAGATTTTAGCAATGTATATATGTCCCATTTGGTGTAACTGTTAAAACAGATTATAAATTATAATTTAACAAATTATAGATTATGACTTTAATCATAAACTGTTAATCTGTTTGGTGTAACTGTTGGATTATAGATTTAAATTGTTGAGTAGTGTTTGTTAAATAAGCTGTGAAGTAGTTTTTCAATTAATTTTTATTTTTTGTTATTCATTACTTGTCTACATTTCTCATAAATAA